AAGCACTGTATATCGTGAATGAAGCTCTTTCTTGAAAATTGTGCGACCGGGTGGGAATCGAACCACCCCTCTTCACGTCCGGACGCAATGTGTTACCACTATACCACCGGTCTCTGTGCTCCAAATTCAGCCTGACAGCGCATCTACTGTGTATCTGCCTTTCAAGGCAAGGTCTTTTTTTCTCTTTGTGGCGGCTTCTTAGCCAGCTTTTCGTGACACTGTACAACAGAACTGACATGATAAGTGACAACTTCAGGCACATGGGATTCCGTGACACACTGATAAGGTATGCGTTGAGAAATGATTATGTGGACGCTGCAAATGTGCTGGAACCGTTGTTGACGCCCGATATGCATCTCGAATTTGCACTTTTCAAAATGCGGCACATCGTTGGGCTTCGAAGATATGCCGACTATAGGACTGTTTGCAGTCTTGCGAAGCAGTGCATTGGTGAGCTTGCAACTAGCAGCCAGGAACGTGAGATGCACGCCGTGCAACGGACAGCCGCATTTATCGTAAGCATTTTTTTACCCAAAGCTGATTTCAGCCCTTTCTTACTCCATACTCTTTGCGAGCTGAAGAAATCCCGAAACAATAATCGGGTATGGTAACACATTATCAACTCAATGGCCAGTTAGCAAAACAGCCTTTTTCCGGGGATTGCTTGGAAGCAGGTTACTCGTGATTTAGCTGTCCTCGATATGCATCGGAGTCAGCGAAATATGCTGTTTGTTTTTTCCTTCGGTGGGTCTGAACGCTTCTTACCTTATCAGCAATACTACTTACCAACAATTCATGGCTGTCATGGGCAATATTAGTGTTTTTATAGGTGACGGAAGAGAAAAGAGGGGGAAGAAAATGGGATCAAACGCTTTAATTGACTTCTTTACCCTACCCTAGCCATTCCACTTAAACCGTCCTCCTACAATTTGGCCTTCTAACGGCCGCTATTTGTCATTCCTAATATGGTAGAGCTGTTTCTGAGTGAGAGAGGGAAGGAAAAAGAATGGGCACAAGGCCCTGATCCGTTTCACATTTCAGTATCAAATCCGATAGTACATTTTGATTTACTGCGGCCTCCTGTCTGTCAAAAAAGTGTCTTGTACTTATAGCATTTAACGCTGTTCTCCATGTACATACTGAAATTTCTCATTGCTATACTGGAATTTACGTCTGAATTGTTTCGGTCCTAATGCGCGATCTCATTCGTACGGAAGGCAAACCGGAAGAAAGAATGGCTGTTGTTTCTGCAATTCCGGAACTGTTAACAAGCACTCGAAAATTTGAGGTTAGTGAATTGGAGATAATTTCACCGCTGTATTGATTTTCCTCTTAAATTGCAGTGTAATGTTCAACGTTTTTGGCCTTTTTCAATAGTTTGGAGCGATTTAACTTTCGGTACATAATCTTTACCCTGCTTTATTGCATAAGCATTAGAGGCGGAGATTTCGGCGGTAAAAATCATTTGCTCATGCTATGCGAATAAAAATCAAAGCCTAGATTGTAAAACCTTGGATGCAGATGAATAAATCTGGAATCCCTTACATACTTAATGCCCAAGCGGTTCCTTGCCCGTTTTTACTGGAAGTGTTTCTTTGTGATGGAACGAAGAAAATAGAGGGAAAATGTCAAAAGTGCCTTTGGCATTTCCTCTCTATTTCTAGATGTTTTCCCCGTATTTTTTAATATTTCCTCTCTAATACTAATGCTACTAATACTACTAATTCAATACTAATACAATCTAATACTAATACTAATTTAGTACTGCTAATACTAATTAATACTACTAATTCAAGGTTGGCTAGAGGGGAATTTTTATTAACGTTATGAGGAAAGAATAAAAGTGCAAAATCCCCATCAGCTGCACGTTCGTTGCTGTTAACTTATGCTATATTTTTAAAGATTCTGGATGCTGTGACGAAGAAAAGCCGTGCAGCGCTTCTTCGAGCTGCGATGAAAGAGCGAAGAGTCAGACGTTTGCAGCAGAAATTTGACAGCCGGGCCGAGAAGTTATCGGCACAAATGGAAGAGCACTTGGTTGATTTACGAGCCAAATTGTTCCCACCACCAAAGGGGTTGCCGCTGGAAACTTGGGCTCGAAGTGATACCTCCGAACAAGTGGCTTTCACAAGAATTATCGCAAATCGAGGCTTATGTGAGGAAAGTTTTGTAGATTTCTTCAGTGTTATTGTTGAAAAATCTCCCGTAATGACAGTGGATTCTTATCGGACCTGCTCAGATGACGTGTTTACAGAAAGGGATGAGACGCTGGATCGTTTTGTAATTATTGACTGATTTGTTTTGCAGTTGCAGTTCTCACATAAAATATCGAAGCAGCTGCGGTGTTTTTGTATAAAGTAATAAAGAACAAACAAGGATCTCTGTTTGAAGACTTTATTTGGCAGTACGGCTGGAGAAACTCTGTAGAATTAGTATGCCGTAATTTTGTATTTTCAGTGAAAACAGTGACAGTGTAATAAAAGTACAGAACCAAAGTTGTACTAATTATACAAAATTCAGTAGTATACATACTAGTGAAGTAGATTCCTGAGCAGAGATGGAGTTTTCAAGTGATGTGGGACTAGTGGTATTCTGCTGGTCTTATGTGGCATTTGTACAGCTGATGTAGAATTATTAAAATTTGGTGCTGATGCAGTACGGAACAATCGCTCTTGGTTATTTGAAAGTGTTTTTTATGTACAAAATGCGAACATACAAAATGAAAAGTACATAAAAAATTTGAAAAATGAAGTGGAAATAATGAAGAGACCTGAGTCATTCGAGTACAAAACTAGAAATGCACATACTAAAAGCACTGATAATATCTTCCTCTGCCGTTCGCCTTGATAATGCTACCTCCGGCTTCGTCACTGACTGGGAGGATTTGTTTTATCAAACACGTACTGAGAGGACGACACCAGGAGCTTTCGAAAAATGCAATTTGTAATAAAAACAGTAATGCATACTATACAAACAGAAATTGATTCGAAAACAAATTTTGGAGCAAAAATCTTCCAGACCATTAGATGGCGTCGGTGAATAGCTGCCATCCCACAGACTGAAAGAGCCTGAAAACAGTACGCGAATTTAGCTAAGCATCATTTACAACGGTTTTTAAAAAATCGCGGAGCAACTGAGCGAAGAAAGATTTGGAGTATTATTTGCGCCACTATCAGATATTCTAAAATTAAGTTCGAAAGTGCACATTTTTTAAACTGTCCTCAAAATACATATTTTCCAAGATTAAGAAGCACGCGCAAATTATTATCTAAACGTATTCTAAAGGAACAAATTTTTCAAACACAACCCCAAGCATGTACTTTTATTTCGTCATAATCTTCAGAATACATATTTCCTACTTCGACATTTAACTACTAGAAGCTACGAATTCTTCCACATTCTTCCGAGTTTCCTAGGTGGAAAAAGTAAATAATTTGAAGACGATGAGAAGAGTTATACAAACCTTCAGGGAATAAAAGAAGAGTAGTTTGTAAGACCAATGAGCTAGGCCGTAATGATGCTCCAGTTGTTGAGTCATGAACATTGGCAGTGCAGCACAAACGATAATATGGGCCGCGAAGATATGCATAATGACCAGTGTGGCTGGCAATGCTTGCCATGAGAAATTACCCGGGATACCGATGAAGGCCGCTTGCCATGGAATCGATGAGAATACTGGTTGGTGCGATAGCGCGAAGAAGCCGTGCGACATCAACAGCACAATGATCGTTAGTTGATAATGCTCTGCAAAAAAAAACTTCATATGGCCACTATTAGCAAATTCTGCTATTCGAACCAATACCAAATGCTACCATCTTATGAACCTAGGATGCGTGGGATTTTGACTTACTGAGGTATACAATGATTTTCCAGAAAATGCTAAAACCAAGTACTCACAGTAAGTCGCCCTGGGACGGCTCATCTTTATATCCTTTAGTACATAAAATTCGTTCTAATGCAAAACAAATTCGTTACAAACATCTTACCTCAAAAAATGAAATTTGATTTGTTCTAGAGGAACTTCTTCCTTCTATTTTATTCAAATGCATGTCTTGTTTGACGAGTAACACGAACATTCTAAGAATTTTCGACGCATTTTATTGAAGCATCAAGAACTTACCATCCTCGGTAACATGTCGGATGAGGAACATTATTACAATAAGAGTGACAAAACTAAATACAAGGCCATCGCCCAGAATTAGTATTAAAGAGGCAGCTATGGAGAATAAATAGGATAGAGAGCAGCCATACATATTCGTAATGTTTTCTCCCACTGTAATGCGACAGGCCAGAAGTATTATACTCAAGGTCGATAAGCCATAAACAATCTGAAAGCAATCTGCGATAGAATGGCAAAACAAAGTGATCTGGATTTCTGAAAATTATAAATTCCAATAAAGAACTTTTTGGAACTAGGTTTCTTAAAACTAGAACAAATCGAGAATTTCTTAGAACCATCAGAAATGAAGAGGCTGGGATCTTTGTACTCTTAAGGGATCTTTGTATCCCTCCCCTCCCCCCCGCTTTTCTTCCCTCTTCTCTCAGATTACCGCTTTTAACTCAGCCTTGAATCTACAGGAGCAAGTTATAGCAACCCGCAACCCCTTTACCCAGCAAGTCGAGTGCAGCCAATGAAATAAGTCTACAAAGGGAACATTTAATTTCTGTATAAGATGACGACCTCACGAACTGCAAGCGGCTTTGTACGGACAATAAAAATCATAGAATTCTTACAAATTAAGTGAAAGTCATTTGGCCAAAACCCAGTTTCAAATACTAATATTAACTCGAAAACTCGTTCTGCAACTAAGCAGCTGCCTCAAATTTTTCCCCTCTTTTACTAATCCTTCAATTTTTACTCAGCTTTTTAACATACATTCTAAGTTGTTTCACGGTTTGATTACTTCTTTCAAGCTCCCCCATTTCTCTCATCTTTTTTAAGCACCAATTTATTGGAAAATGGTCTAACCTGAGCAGTTAAGAGTGGAAATTGAGGATTACGGGCTGCCATCTCTTCGGACAACCAGTACGTCATCCAATGAAGCACTATGGTAAGGGGAGCTGGGAAAAGTAGCGACGAATTCCACACTTCTGACGGATGAATATTCAAAGATTTTGCTCCATAATGCAAAGCACCTCCCACAACAAAAATACCAAACAGGAAACGCGCCATCTTCAACTCACCTAAAAAAAAACACTCGCTGCTTTTCTGTACGATAAATGAAGCACAATTTTGTTCGAGGAAATAATATAGCCTACACTTCGATTGCTCCTATTACGAGAAGAATACTAAGATTATCTGGACAATCTGTTTGATGTTATTGTGGTTTTCTCAGGGGCCATGTCCTTCATACCTCCAGTTGGTGTCTACTGCCATTCGATGCATGTGTGCCACATTATGTGACTTATAAAAAAACCAACCGCGAATTCGATTTTTAGGTGTTACTATCTGTCACACTTAACATTTCTCATGGGAAGATAAAAGGAAGCAGAGAAACGAATTAACCGAGTCACCAGCCTTCAGTTGAGGGCATCTCCAATCATTTCAGACATGAAAGATTATCAGATGCATCGAATATGATGGAAGATTATCAAACACATCCCGGATGTTCAGGCCGATATTTGAAAAGGATAAACAGCTCAACAATTCTCTTATGAACATGGTAAGGATTTAAACATTTGTTAGGTATCACTATTTCGAATCGAAAACTGCCACTTTAAAATTACCAGCTAGGGGAAACCTTGTGGTAAATTTAAACAAAAAAAAAAAAAAATAGTCTATCTCATAAGTTTTTATCCCTGTAATTTATGTCAAAAGAACACAAGTTACCACTACGGTTGTGGGAGTATCTAGTCGAACGATTCTATGAAATTACGCGGACGACAAAAAATCAAAACAAAAAAGAATGGAGAAGCTGCTAGCCTCATCAATGGCAAGAAACGTGACGGTGACATAACAGCTTCCCAAAGTATCGAAGTAGCTTATCTTAAAAATACTATTCGTAAAAGCAGTAAAAAGGGCCTCACCATAAGGCAAACGAGAAATC